ATGATAATAATAATAATAATTGGATATATCACTCAGCACTCTTTTCACTCCCATAAACAGAAACATATTCCCTTGAATTATATTACTTTCACAAACCTTTTTTATACAGATAGTGATTTGATGTCTAGATAGTGAGTACTCAGGAGAGCCCATACTAGGGAAAACCTCATCATGTCCACATATCTCGGTTTACTAGTGAGTGATTCTCTTTCTTTTCTTTTTTCTTTAATTTTTTTTTTTGAGACAAGGTCTCTCTCTGTCACTGAGGCAGGGGGCAGTGGCACAATCTTGGCTCACTGCAGCCTCAACCTCTCAGGCTCGTGATTCTCCCATTGCAGTCTCCTGAGTAGCTAGGACCACAAGCACCCACCACCATACCCGGCTAATTTTTGAATTTTGTATTTTAGGTGGAGACAGTTTCGCCACATTGCCTGGGCTGGTCTCAAACTCCTGAGCTCAAGCAACCCGCCCTCCTTAGCCTCCCAAAGTGCTGGGATTACAGGTGTGAACCACCATGCCTGGCCCTACTTTCTATCGAAGTAGAATGGGTAGATAACATTATTATTAACAGCATATGGGAAGAGGGAGGTCCTCCCATGTTACATTGTTCTCCCTGCCCCTTCTGGGTCATGTTGCACTACTCTTTCCCTTCTAGTCATATCCCAGGGGGCCTTGTCCCATTTATACAGCTCCATTCTACTCCCATCCCACCAGAGGCATGGGAGTAGTCTGACTGAAAGATCAGATAGAAGAGTGTACTCTCTTTTTTTTTTGAGATAGAGTCACCCAGGCTGGAATGCAGTGGCATGGTCTTGGCTCACTGTAGTCTCAAACTCCTGGGCCCAAGCAATCGTCCCACTCAGCCTCCTGAGCCGTTGGGACTACAGGCACATGCACAACCACATGCAGCTATTTTTTTAAAAATTTTCTGTAGAGATGGGGTCTCACTGTGTTGCTTAGTTTGGTCTCAAACTCCTGTGCTCAAGTGATCCTCCTGCCTTGGGCTCACAAAGTGCTTAGGATTACAGGCATGAGTCACCACGCTCAGCTGAAGTCTACTCTTTGTATTCAGGAAAGCACTGGAGAAGAGAGAGGACAAGAGAAACAGGTCCGTGGTGAGAGGAGCCTAGGAATAGAGTAGGCCTTCAGTCTTGGTGGAAAAATAAATGGTATTCTAAGCCTTTGGATGCTAATTTCAGTACCACCCACTCTTTTTCTCTTGTCCATTTCTCCCTTAGATTTTTTATAAAATGAAGAACTGAATCCATTTTTTTTTTTCCTGTCATTCAAGTGAGGAGCAAGAATAAAGGGTGTAGGGGAGATTTCTTTTTTTTTTTTTTTTGAGACAGAGTCTCACTCTGTTGCCCAGGCTGGAGTGCATTGGCGCAATCTCGGCTCATTGCAACCTCACCATCCCAGGTTCAAGTGATCCCCCTGCCTCAGCCTCCCAAGTAGCTGGGACTACAGGTGTGCACCACCACACCCAGCTAATTTTTTGTATTTTTAGTATAGACAAGGTTTCACCATGTTGGACAGAATGGTCTTGATCTCTTGACCTTGTGATCCCCCTGCCTCAGTCTCCCAAAGTGCTGGGATTACAGGCATGAGCCACCATGCCTGGCTGGGGGAGATTTTTTTTGTTTTTGTTTTTTTGTTTTTTTGAGATGAAGTCTTGCTCTGTCACCCAGGCTGGAGTGCAGTGGCGCAATCTCGGCTCACTGCAACCTCTGCCTCCTGGGTTCAAGCGATTCTCCTGCCTCAGCCTCTGTAGTAGCTGGGATTACTGGCAAGCGTGCCACCACACCTGGCTGATTTTTGTATTTTTAGTAGAGATGGTTTCGCCATTTGGCCAGGCTGGTCTCAAACTCCTGACTTCAAGTGATCTGCCAGCCATGGCCTCCCAAAGTGCTGGGATTATAGGCGTGAGCCACCACACCCGGTCACATGTAGTATTAAGTTGGGTATTTGCGGCTAGACGCAGTGGCTCACGCCTGTAATCCCAACACTTTGGGAGGCCAAGGCGGGTAGATCCCCTAAGGTCAGGAGTTCGAGACCAGCCTGACCAACATAGCAAAACCCTATCTCTACTAAAAATTAGCCGGGCATGGTGGTGGGTGCCTGTAATCCCAGCTACACTGGAGGCTGAGGCAAAGAATTGCTTGAACCCAGGAGGCGGAGGTTGCAGTGAGCTGAGATTGCGCCATTGCACTCCAGCCTGGGAGACAGAGTGAGACTCGTGAGACTCTGTCTCGAAAAAAAAAAACAAAGAAATTCTAAGCTGAGAAAGCTACTTAAAATTGGTCAAGAAAAAGATAATACATTAAGTATAAGAAAGTTGGCATGGCTATAGTAATATCAGATAATAGCCCTCAAAACAAAATATTGCAGGAGATAGGTAACAATAATAAAAGAGCAGGTCATTAGGAATTTGCATATACATTTGTCACTTAACTACAGGGATACATTCTGAGAAATGTGTCATTAGGTGATTGCATCATGCAAGCATCATAGAGTACACTTAACACAAACAGAAATGGGGTAGCCTACTACATACCTAGGTTATATGGTATAGCCTATTGCTCTTAGGCTACAAACCTGTATAGCATATTACTGTATTGAATGCTGTAGGCATTTATAACACAGTGGTATTTGTGTATCTAAACATAGAAAAGGTACAGTAAAAATACTGTATAAATTATTAAAAAATGGCACACCTATATAAGATACTTGCCATGAATGGAGCTTGCAGGACTGAAGCTCTGGGTGCGTCACTGAATGAGTTGTGTGAGTATGCTAAGGACTAGGACATTACTGTATACTACTGTAGACTTTACAAGCAGTACGCTTAGGCTTCACTAAATTTATTTTTTAAAGTTTTCTTCAATAATAAATTAACCTTAGCTTCCTGTGATATTTTTACATTATAAACTTACTATTTTTTATCTTTTTGAATTGTAATAACACTTCACTTAAAACACAGACACATTATATAGGAACACAAAAATATTTATGTCCTTACTCTATAGGCTTTTTTCTATTTAAAAAAATTTTTATTTTAAAAATGTTTGTTACTTTTTAAACTTTCTTGTTAAAAACAAAGACACACACACTTTAGCCTGGGCCTACACAGGGTCCAAAGTATCAGTATCACTGTCTTTTACCTCCACATCTTGTCCCACTGAAATGTCGGTCTTCAGGGTTAATAATATGCATGGAGCTGTCATCTCCTATGAAAACAATGCCTTCTTCTGGATACCTCCTGAAGGACTTGCCTGAGGCAGGTTTTTTGTTTGTTTGTTTGAGACAGAGTCTAGCTCTGTTGCCAAGGCTGGAGTGCAGTGGCACAATCTCACCTCCCAAAGCTGGAGTGCAGTGGCACAATCTCACCTCCCAAAGCTGGAGTGCAGTAGCACAATCTCACCTCCACTTCCCAGGTTCACACCATTCTCCTGCCTCAACCTCCCGAGTAGCTGGGACTACAGGCGCCCACCACACCCGACTAATTTTTTGTATTTTTAGTAGAGACAGAGTTTTACCGTGTTGGCCAGGAAGGTCTCGATCTCCTGACCTCATGATCCACCAGCCTCCGCCTCCCAAAGTGCTGGGATTACAAGTGTGAGCCACCACGCCTGGCCACCTGAAGCTGTTTTACAGTTACCTTTTTTTTTTTTTAAAATAAGTAGAAGGACGGAGTACAGTCTAAAATAATAATACTAATAGTACAATAAATACATAAACTAGTAACGTAATAATTTATTATTATCACCTATTACATACTATACATAATTGCATGTACTGTACTTTTATACAACTGGAAGCACAGTAGGTTTATTTACACCAGCCTCACCACAAACACCTGAGTGATATGTTGCACGAAAACGTCCACAAGTGATAGGAATTTTTCAGCTCCACTGTAATCTTATGGGACCACCATTGTATGTGTCCATCATTGACTAAAATATTGTTACCTGGCACATGGCTGTA